GACTACTAATGAAGAGTTTAAGGCGGCGGTATCCGCTGCGAAGCAAGCGTTTCCGTTATGGAGAAACACGCCGATTACTACCCGGCAGCGTGTTATGCTAAAGTTTCAAGAGCTTATACGCAAGAATATGGTAGCTATTTGTTTTAGTTTGTTTAGCTCTTGATATGTGCTTGGCTGAAAGTTTGAATCTTTTTGTAGGATAAACTTGCTATGAACATCACTACCGAGCAAGGAAAGACGTTAAAAGATTCACATGGTGATATCTTCCGTGGGTTAGGTTAGTTTTTTTTATTGCAGGTTTGGTTATATGATTGACAAGCAGAGCAGAGCCAATACTGATTATATTTTTGGTACTCGGTTTCTTACGCAGAGGTTGTGGAGCATGCGTGTGGAATGGCAACCTTACAGATGGGTGAATATGTACCCAATGTGTCGAATGGAGTTGATACATATAGTATAAGGGAGCCATTAGGTGTTTGTGCTGGCATTTGTCCATTCAACTTTCCAGCAATGATTCCTTTATGGGTAACATGCTAAGCCCTTTTTTATATTAGTGGTGCATATGTCTTCATTTACCTTCAACATATAATACATATGTATAACCGTAATACTTTGTGATCGTGTTCTGTGAATTCTGCGTATTTATTATGTGTTTGTTAGTGCAGATGTTTCCTGTTGCAGTGACATGTGGTAATACCTTTATTCTGAAGCCATCAGAGAAGGATCCTGGTAAACTGCTCTTATTCCTTTGAGATATTCCAGTTACTGAAAGACACTTCTGTGATGTTTAATTGATGTATGGGAAGTTCAAAATATCTTGACTTTCTGACTGTGTCTTATCATATCGCTGACGCCAGTGTACACAATATGATGAGCTAAACATTTTCTAAATGTTATACTTTACCACATGCATTATTGGTTGACTGTTGTCCACTATAGCAATGAAGGTCCCTTCTATTGATTGATTGATTATTGATATTACTTGCTTTCTCCAGGTGCTTCTGTAATACTTGCGGAGTTGGCAATGGAAGCTGGATTACCTGATGGGGTTCTCAATATCGTTCACGGAACCAATGTATGTTATGTTTAAACTTTCTGCTCTTGCTAAATTTCTTATTTGTTAAACATTTGAATTGTTAAAGAAAGGATTCTTGTCGAGAGATAGTATGGTGAATTTTCTAGTTTGCAATTAATACCTTCACTTTCTTTGTTGCCACTAAAAATGCATCTATTGCACAGGATACTGTGAATGCTATCTGTGATGATGAAGATATAAGGGCTGTTTCTTTTGTTGGCTCCAACACTGTAAGTACATTTTTTTATGTTGCTCCTCTATAGCCTGCAGACTTGCGTTTGACCAAGTTATGCTGAATAATATTTACAAATTTTCAGCTAGTCAGTGTCCTGTGTAATTAGTTCAGCTGTCTGATTAAACGTTAATTGTATACTAATCATACCCTAAATCTCTACAAAATCTGTTAATATGGATTGATGATTTCAGAATTGCTAATCTTCTGAACTCAATTTTTTCGTTTAACTTTTGTATTAATGCATTGTTTTGTTTAAAGGCTGGAATGCATATATATGCAAGAGCAGCAGCTAAAGGAAAACGTATTCAGGTAACATCTTGAATCTTTACCCCTGTAAAATTCTTCCTTACTATATCGAAACGACATTAGTCAAATTGCTTATAAAATATTGACTCAGTCAAATATGGGGGCGAAAAATCATGGACTTGTCTTACCTGATGCCAACGTCGATGCAACTTTAAATGCGCTACTTGCTGCTGGGTTTGGTGCCGCTGGACAGAGATGCATGGCACTGAGTACAGTGGTTTTTGTTGGGGATTCAAAATCATGGTACTGCTAACTTTATTTATTCAAATTACTCCCAAGTATTTGAGGTGTCACCTTCTCGAATATCTTATATTTCTGTGATAAACACATTTGCCTGTAATCTTTTTCTTTCCAACGGACTACGGTTTACAAAGTCCACATGTTTAGGGTGCCTGAACCATATATAGGATTGTTAAGATAACACTTTTTTCTTTTATAAATTTAGATTGACTACTGTGGTGTCCTAATATTAAAAGTAACTGAAGAATCTGTGTGAGACCTGTTGATTTTCATTTGAAAGTATTGAAAGATTAGCTTTACTTGTCTAATACTAACCAGGGAGGATAAACTCGTTGAGCGAGCGAAGGCCCTTAAAGTCACATGTGGGTCAGAACCAGATGCAGACCTGGGACCTGTGATTAGTAAACAGGTAATTTCGTGCACAAACCTCTGATATAGGTCGTGACTACTGCTGAACTTACAAGTGTAAAAAGTATGTTTAGTTTTGCATTTTTTCTGTTGTTTAATATGTATACCTTATTTTTAAATTTTGATATGGCTAGGCAAAAGAACGGATATGCCGATTGATTCAGTCTGGTGTAGACGATGGTGCTAAATTGCTGCTTGACGGAAGAGATATTGTGGTATTTTCCCATTCTCCATATATACTGCTATTGCAACAGACTCATGCCTTAAATATAGCACTACCCTCCACATTCTTATGAAATAGTAATCATCAAGAAGCGCAGAAATATTTTGATCTGCCTTTGCTGGACTGATATTGTTGACTTAATAATCTTTGTGTAATCTTGAAAACAATGCAAAGATCGACTGGTCCGAGAAGTTTTTATATTTTCTCTTACAACAAACAGGTTCCAGGATACGAGAAAGGGAATTTTATCGGTCCAACCATTTTATCTGGTGTTACCCCAGACATGGAGTGTTACAAGGTACTATTATTTTGGTATTAAGGCAAATAATCTGCATTCTACTTGAAACTTACATTTCTTTTTTCTTTTGGCACATTGCAGGAGGAAATATTTGGCCCTGTTCTTGTGTGCATGGAGGTCAGATTGGAAAACTAGTTTTATTTCAATCATATATTTCTGAATTGTGAGCTTAATGCCCTCTGATACCTTTGTGACATATGCATTTACAGGCAAGCAGTTTTGATGAAGCCATATCCATAATAAATAAAAACAAGTAAACACCCTTTTCTATCACATAGATATCATTTTAATACTAAGATCATTTTCTCGTATTCTTCAACAATTTGCTATTTACGCCTTCAACAGGTATGGGAACGGTGCTGCAATATTCACTTCGTCGGGGGCAGCAGCAAGAAAGTTCCAGATGGACATAGAAGCAGGACAGGTATGAAGAACTTTGGACCCTATAAAATACAACACTTTTTGTAAACAAGTGATGACATGTTTTTGATCTCTTCTTTTTGTTGTTGTTAATGTTTGACCAGATCGGTATTAATGTTCCAATCCCGGTTCCATTACCGTTCTTCTCCTTCACCGGGAACAAGGCCTCATTCGCAGGAGATCTTAACTTCTATGGTAAAAAGTTTTGTCAAAACTAAACAGAACAAGATCCATTCTCTTTCTCTTTGCTTATATACTCAAGTGGAACGTTGTTGCAGGCAAAGCAGGAGTGGACTTTTTCACTCAAATCAAAACTGTTACACAACAGTGGAAAGATATTCCAACATCAGTATCTCTCGCAATGCCAACATCGCAAAAGCAATAATGAGACAACAACTTCAAATACTTTTACTTATGGATTTTCGAATCAGCTTCAAGAAGAACCCTTTGTTTCTTTTTTTCAGCTGCCTAGTATTTTCTTATGCTTAGTTCCTTTCTTCTTTTAATCACTATGGTGACTAGAAGTAACCAATGGAACTAAATCGTTAAATAAAACGCCAAATTCTTCACTCTTACAAAGATTTGAGATTTCTTTTGACTATTTTTCTAGTTTTCATCTAAAAACCTTAAACCTCTCGCCTTCCACTATAAAGTATCATCATTTAGTGAAAACTAGTTCCAACAAAACGACACTTGTTCAATAGCATTTTAACCAATCAAATTCTCAGGAGCTCCCCATCGAAAAAGGAGAGAAATACTTTGGAACCTCTTAGAAATTGAATTTATTACCAACCCAACCAAGCAAAATGGGTAAAAAATATCCAAATTCTATGTAATCGGGTCAAACCTTAAAATAATTTTTTTTTTCGTCGTTGTCTTCCTCCTCTTCTTAGTTTTGTTTTTCTTCTTACCATTCTTTGTCGAACTCGGTATAATTACATACAACTTCCTTATTTGCGTTAGTTGGTAAAATTCGTGTCGATCTATTTCTCCAATTTGAGTAACTACTTTCATCATGTTTTTGTTCTATCAATTTTCGTCGATCCTAATCTAACTTTGTCTAATCTGTTGTTTTATTTCCGATTTTGGGTAGAATTAGAAAAATTTGTGGAATCTGTTGTTAATCTAATTGATTTTGTTTGTAGGTTTATGCAAGGGAGTAATGGCTCGAACAAAGAACCTAACTGTATCGAATCCTACAGAACCAGAGACAATCCTTGAAGAAGAAGAAACACCACTCAAAGTGGATTTTGAAGCAACAGATTCAATCTCTCGCGGAAATTCAACGAACTTTGGAAAACTAGTAGAACTTGGTATAACTATGTTTCTTTCGTAACTTAGGAATTTCCAGGTATATCTACACACTTTGAGTCTTTGACCAAAAAAAGCCGACAAGGTTTAAGTAGTCTCTTATTTCAAAATTGGTCGTGTTTTGTGATGACAACAAGCGTAAATCTAATCTCATTTTACATCTAGTCATATTTGAAAATTGATTCTTTGGTGTTTTTTGTGTTTATTGGCATTGCAGAAACATATGCTGTTAGCTCCAGCTGTTCCGTGTTTCTCAATTATATTTGGTTTAAAAGTATTTTGATTCGGTTGTCTTGATAACAACATTTTTCTGTCCAATATTAAGAGGAGATGGAGAGAGAGTTAAAGTTATTGTTTGACTCAACTTGTGCAAACACTCCACCAAATTTTGTCCACTTGAATTCTTTGTAGCTCCATTTGCTGATTCTCTAGCTACCCAACTCAAATGCCTTTCTCTTAGCAACTCTGCACTTAATGACTCCATTGCGAAAGATATCTCGTCCACTCTTCTTTCTGCTGCTTCTTTCTCCTGTTTCAAATCAATTAGAATGTTAAAAACTTTGATACAGTATATAGACAAAGAGAGCAGGTAAGAGAGATGAGTGAAATAAGTTACCTTTTGCATTTCAGAATATTTCACTGTCATGGCTCTACATTGGACCCCGATATCTGCAGCTTTAGTTCCTCGGGACAAGCCCACCGCAGATGGAACTGGGGCCAAAGGGCAGGAGCTAGAGATGCTGCTGGTGGTAGTAATGGGCCGTCATATTTCAAAGGATCATAGAATGGGTTACAATGGACATGAGAAGTTGCACTAAATGAACGCAGATCAGTCAAGTACGCCCATAGGCATCCACAGGCATCAGCAATCCCACATTGTTCCCTCTCTTTTTCACTGAAATTTACACCAGCTCAGATATTGGTAAAACATAATAATACCAATTGTTTTCACAATCACTTCAGTTTAGAGCTTCAAAAGAAAGTTTTACCTGTTGCATAAGAAGTTCCCAAAACGACATGAAAGCAAGCAATCCATAAAATCTACCAGGAAAGTCTGCAACAGCAAATATGAAGGCAAATGAGTACACTATTATTACTGGAAGAAGTTGAACATGAAATCTTCAGAAATGTGTTTGACTTCATACATACCGGAGAGAACTCAAAAGCACAAGGATACATCCGCATTAGCTGTGAAACGCTATCAATCCACTGGAAACACATAGATGATGTAAACATACTATAAGCTGTTGGTCTGCCAACCCATTGACATAGATCTAAACAAACCAAAAGTATTACTATAATTGCAAGAGGAATAATTGCTCGCTCACCTGCATAAATATAGGTGAATAATTGTTACGCCCATGGGAAGAGCTTGAAGATTGTGAGGCTGCTGATCCTGAAGACTGACGCACAGGAGATGAAGGGAAACTTCCAGCAGAAGAAGACTGCCTTGGTAAGTCAAAATTACCAGATCCTGATATGTTAGGCATTCCTACACGATCCGAAAATGGGTGCCCAAAAGCAAGCCAATCCTTTTCGACAAGAGCCTGATGTGAGGTTAATAGAAAAGATTAAATAAGACAACAGGGTAGCGAACAAGAATCTCATATAGAATGTTGATGCACAATTAGTTGGAAAGAACACATGATACGGTAACATCTTCATAGGGTGCATAGCAAAACATGAATGGATACTAAAAATAGAATTCGATATGGTACTCCAAGTCTACACTTGTAAACCATTAAATTATGCGACTAACTAAATTTTTACAGTTGCAAAACATATTCTATGACACTTAAGTAAAATCAGTCACATCAAATAAGCACAGGGAATACCTGAAACCCAGCAAAAGTTCTGTAGTATGGATCAAGCAATAAGCATGCAAGAGAATTAAACAAGCTGAGTTGTTCTGTCCCACCCATCACTGCGCAATGACATACAATGAGTCATGACATAACTAATAATATTTTTTCACCCTGATGATAATAGAAGGTTTTGCTAAAAACAGACGCATATTCATCTTATCACGGGACAGAAATTGGTATCCAAATTAAACAGTTGGTCGGTGATGTGAGTCAAGGTAGCTAACCTGCAGTGCACAAGAACTGATGCCGACTCCATAGCAACACGTGCAGCTATCCATGCTGCACCAGCTAAGACGCTCTGGATGTGTATCAACCAGCCACTATCTCCAAGTAAAGATACTGAAGCAGACATACTACTAAGATTACCTCCTCCCCAGGTCCAACCACCGTGTCTCTGCAGAATCCATATATACATACATATATCTTTATGATAATAAGCAACATTAAAATATTATATATCATACTGTATCCCCTCAATGAAATCTGTCAAGAAAGTTACTGGATATTCAGTACTCACCAAGAACGATGATCTCCCATCAGATGATGTTGTACCGTGCATATCTAAATAATCTCTAACGCGGAAAAGCTCTCCCTCATTGCATGTATGTTGTCTATGCCAAAGAAAACAATCTGAAGAAAGAAACATAGTCACTAAAATCATGATATTCCAGAAGATCAAGACTTCAATAATTAAACCACCAAGATCATTCACTAACTTCAGATTGAAAATAATTGGAAGATGATTCTGAGCCACCTCCCATTGCTCCATTGGCTAATGCATTCTTCCTAGGTCTTGCATCGGCAATATAAAGCTTCCTAAGAAGTAAAAAAAAAAAAAACGAGATGAGATAAGTGCATCTTTGTGAATAGAAACCACATGAGTTGAGTTCAACACATACTTGTAAAAGAAAAAAACAAACAAAAAAAAAACTGTCAACCATATTGGAAATCTAACAACAGGTATTTTAATAGTAACCAAACAGACATTTTGATGCATTTAGAAGATAATCTAGCGTCCAGAAAGGCCAACAAAAGTGCCAATTCCCATTTGTGAGATGCATTCGTGATTCATAAATTTTAACTCTTTATAACGAAACATAAAATACAAGACGAATAAGAGTTAACCAGATTAAGCTCACCTTCGTTCTCCCTTAGCACCAGGTAATTGAGAGCAGAATGCAGCAACAAGTTTTTCATCAAGACTACTGTTGGGTAAAATAAAACAAATTAATAGTCAGAATCTACTGCTTCGAGAAATTTGAAATCCAAAACTAAAACTAAAAAGTTATCAAAAATGTCTCGTCGTGAAATTGAAAGTTCGATATACCTCCTCATATTCATCATAAGACCCACTAAAGGTTGTGATGAGCGTGCAATCACAGCTCCACTTCCTGCAATCAAGGTTTGAGATCAAAATCAGCATATCATTTTTTTTTCCCCCATCAGCATATCATTTTGGAAGCATTACTACCACAATTAAAATGGAAGCAACCAAAATATCTGCCTTCCTACCTGGCTGACACCACGTGATCACAGGTAAGCGACATCTTGCCCGGAAAGAACACGCCTGGAGCAGCTCTTCATCATTATCAGCAACAGTGACTTGTTATCTTTTATTATTTATCAATACTCAATAGGAACATGGTCTTTACGCGCAAAACAAGACATGGCAAATCAGTGAAGAGGATTTTTCTGGAAAGCTCGTAAAGTATGAACACAGAAGCACTCAAAAGTCTAGAAGGTATTGAATATTGATAGAGACTTCTTTAAATCCCGGACAAGATATCGGTGTCCTACCTTATGGATTTTGGAACCATAAAAGCAAATGGATAAGTCTGACACAAGTTGTAATTGGAGTTCAAGTCGCTTATCCGCCACAGCTCGTTGGACAATGTGAACGAACCATCTTCAATCATATCCATTGATGCTCGTATTGAACTTCTTCCGAGAAGACGGAAATATTCATTAAGCAATCTTTCCTTTGGGTTTGCGTTACCAAATTTGGAAGGACCGCATGCAAAAGTATATAGATCCCATACTCTCTCTGGCTTGCTACACTTCAGTAATGCATCAAACACAATACGTCTCTGCAAATGTAAGATTTGAAGGTTATACAGAATTTACGGAGAAATGAGTAAGGCAGCATAAGAAAAAGTGAGAGTTTCACCTGCTTGGTGCGAGGACGAAAGCCATAAACAATTATCCTCATGTCTTTGCCTACAACATGCAGGTGATCATAATATATAATGTCAAGTAAGACACAAGATGCATCAAATAAAGATGTACGAAAAGTAGAAAAAACTTCAACCAACATCACTGTGGGAAGATGTCCACTGTCCAAGATAATATTGGGACGTCAAGAATCAAGGAAAAAAAAAATGAAACACAATTCAACATCATAGCGAATTTTGAGCTATGACGCGAAAACCAGACAAACAAAACTTATGCAAAATCAGTTCTATGAAACTATTAAATCCGGAAACATACCAGTGACCTGTAAAAGACGTCTTGGTGGATTCTTGTCAGACTGACGGGGGCTTGACTGAACTTTCAGCACCTATGTACACATCACCCATGAAATCAGAAAATACATAGAATTAACAATGTAAAACCCTAGAGCCTAACTTAATTAGTATTAATCACATAGCTCTGTCCCCAGGGATACAGCAACTGACCATTTTGTTAAACTTCTCAATGGTTGCCAATGGAATGGTTCCAAGTGGAATGACTTTTCTGGTTCCTTCACTCTTCACAAAGAGAAACAAAGAATATATTGATCAACAGTACTTAAAAACTAAAGGCCTAATGCTGAAATAGTGAATATAAGTAAGTTCAAGACATGTATACTACATTTTAAAACTATTACATTGGCCAGAAAAATAGATCAAATGCATATAAGAAACAGAGGAAAGACGATATCATACCAGAAAAAGAATACGGAAATTTGTCACCAATAGAGTTCCTGCTTCGTCGGTGTTAATAAGAACAACTCCATAACCCTGTAAACAAGGTCCAAAATCATATTCTTCACACTATTATCATGGACAAATGCCATAGCCAATACTGGATTTACCGTTAATTTACGAAGAACACGAGTGAAGCAAATTGCATACCAAGTCTCAAATTCAATAACCGGATATGGTAACAAAAATTCATAGATGGAAAATTCGAATAAAAGAGATCACTTTGACCAACTCTAAAAACATACCTCCTCGACGATGACCCTCTCCGATTCCAGCAAGCAACTCAAATTCGAGAAAGAACCTGAACCTGACCCTGAAGCTGACTGCGACCCATCAAAAAGAGACAACCAAAGCAGAATTCCATTAAACCTTTTGAGCAATCAATTTCGTATCCAAATTATGAGCTTTTTGCATATAGTTCGCATAGAGAAAGGCCGAAGCGAGGAGAGTATTGTTCGAGGCTCGCAGTAGCGTCAAAGCGCGGGAGTTCGGAGTCAGCAAGAAAGAGTTCGGAAAGCCCACGTGAAGCCCAAGATAGTTCAAATTCGAGCCGTTTCGGTCAAGTTGTAACTTACATGATTAATGCGGATCAATATGATTATGAGCAGTAAATGACCGCATTAATCATGTTTTTCTCTATAAAAATAAATCTCAAACGCATGTGTTTGGTTAATCAATAATCTCTGAAAATCCAATCCATTGTATATATATGTCTTAATCTCTTCATAAACATGGAGATTCCAAGCAAGCCATATATAAAACTAGGTCCACTAAAGCTTAGGCACTTCAAAAGCAGTCTATTATTGACACATTACTGTTCAATTGACATTCAAAAACAGAGAAATTATGCTCCATGGAAACTTCGTCATTCCCGCCGCCTTCGCCGCAAAACCAGTCCTCGTCGAAGAATTAGCTCTTTCACCACCACCACGATCTTTACCTTTACAATAACCGCGATTTCCCACTTCTCCTTGCGATCAAGCCAATGATGATACTTCTTATCATCTTCTTCCTCAACAAAGCTAACTCTTTTCACTTTACTCTTCTTCTTCTTCCCATCCATGTTAAGTGTATTCACCTTCACCACATTGAATCCATAAAAAACAGAGTTTGAAGAAGAGATCGATTTGGTTAATCTCAAATTTGCATCCCAAATCGATTTGGTTAATCTCATCAATCTCAGAAATCTTCATGGCGAAGAAGAGAGACTAATCAAAGCTTATCAAATATCAAAGACCCATTGATTTCATCAACCAAAAGCTAGTCTTTTGTTATTGTTTTCAAACGAAGAGAATCCTAGCGATGTCAAATTGATGGTATCGAAACCCCAAATATTTTGAAGCGAAGAAGAAGAAAAAGTTGGATCGGGTCGTTAATGGGTCGGCCGGGTTTAGGTTAATTTTTATTAATTTCTGTTTAGTTTTGGTTAAAGTTTGTTTTAAAATGGTTAAGACTGAATTGGTGTACCCTAAACCGACGAAACCCAGATACGTGGGTTTATAGATCTCTAAGTATTAATTCGGGGAGATTTAGCTACTGAACTTACGTTTCGGGGAGAAATACGAACAAAATATTGTTTTTAGGGGCATATAGACCGGAATTAAAGTTTGGGCTCTATCTGTTATGATGCGATACTTCTCGTGGGGAAATAGACCGTTTTTCCAATTTAAACGGAGTAATGGTTAGTTAGATTTTTATTAAACTTGTGAACTATCAAACCGTATATAAAACCGTTAAAAATGATTAAATAAATACAAATATTCATAAGTTGACATAATTCCGTTTGGTTTCGCCATGTTCCATTATATCCTATACCCGTTCTCAAATTCATGTCGCATAAGAGAATGCATTTCTTAGATGAGACAATTTATTTGATATAGTTTTTTTAAATTTATTTGATAAACTTGCTCCATAATTTTTAAAAACGAATCTTAACAAAAATATTGACAAAAAAAAAATCTTAACAAAATCTTAAAAAGAAGAGATTCATGGTTTAATGTGAATAAATTTTAGATAATTATTTTGAATTAATTGTAATTAATCTGTAAATCTTTTAACAACTTGTAATTTAAACTAGTCATTTTGGACGTATGCATAAATGCATAATATTTATATACACAAAATTATAGGTTTTAATTTGTGGCTTCAATCTTTAACAAAAAAAAACTAATCTTAACTGCAAATTTTAAATTTCTGATGACGAAAATATTAAAAAAATATCTAAAATTTTCTATGATCTCATAGATTTTGGTATTTTTCCATTAAACTTATACTTATGCAAATTTTCAAATATGGTTATTATGATTGTTCAAATACAATTAATGAGCTGTTAAAAAAATCTTATTAATGTTTCTTTCCAAAAAAAGAAGCTATTCAGATTTAAAAGACAAAAAAAGAATATTGGTGTGAAAAATATTTTCTCATTTTGAAATATTTGCATTGAAAATATTTACATTGATATTTAAAATTATATTTTAATGTTTTGATGAAAAAGAAAATAATCAAATTTAGAAGAATGTATATTCCAAAGTGTGTAAAAATTTGATACGAAATAAAATAATTTATTTGATATGAAATATTTTAATTTATTTGGCTCTAAATAAAATGATTTGGAGATATAGTAGCTATTATCATACGTTTTAAAAAAATATTTTATTTTATATAATTCAAATTTAGTTTAGTTATATATTTAAAATAATGAAAACGACCTATTTAAAAAAACAATATTTCAATATTTATATCATTTAAATTCTAATTAAAATGTAAAATATTTTAATCTATACTGGAAATATTTTCTAGATATTTACAAATCTAAAATCGAAAAATTATTTGTTGGATATGCTATATTTTAAAGGATGGAAGTATTTAGTTTAGATTATATATGACAAATATACTAAATATTTTTTCATATTTGGAAAATCAAATTTTAAAATCTTTTTTTCTTGTGTACTAATCAGAATTAATTAACATAGATTTATTAAGGAAATTTTTTAAAATCTAGAGTACCTGTTTTTTAAAAAAGATATTTCAAAATATATATCATTTAAATTCTAATTAAAATGTAAAATCTTTTAATCTTTTTTCAAATTTTAAAAAATCAATGGCATCCTATGTAATAGAATTTCGCCACAATATCATCAGAGTTTATTGCAACGGGGGTCCATGTTCCAATTTTGATCATAGAGATTGAGAAATTCATACCTTTTAGTTTCTCATAACTCTTAAGAAGAGTTGAGGTCTTTGAGTTCTCTGTTTGTTGATGAGGTCATGTGTAGTTTCTATTGAGGTAAGTTTCAATCTTGTTGATAAGTTCCGGAGTCGTGGTTAGAGGCGAGTTTAGACGTGGAACCTGACAATACATTGAGAATAAATCATAACTGTGCATTCCAAATACCCCAAAATTGTTAATAGTGTTTATGTTGAAGTAATAGTGTTACAGCAGAATAAAGAAAGGTAATAAAACCTCAACGTGCAATAACAATACAGTTAAACCTCTATAAATTAATACTCGATAAATTAATAAACACGATAAAATAATAAATTTTGCTGGTCCTAAGTCGGACCAGTGTAAAAATTAACCAAATTCGATAAGATAATAAGATAATAATTTTTTTCAAATCCCTATGTAAAATTATGGCCCCAATAGTATCATAAATTAATAATCATAAAAACTACTAAAGATTTTTGTTGGTAATATATATATGTAAAGATAAAATATTATTTAGTAGTTTTTAAAAATGAATTTCTATTCATAAAATAGCCAAACTTTTATGTAAGTTTTCAAAATTATGAATAAGTATAATTTTTATTCGAATAATCGTATAGACCGTTCAAGTACAACAATTGAAGTCACTATGTTACATATTTTTTTTGTATATGTGAATTCATCTATAATTTTTGTTATTTTTGTTAAAAAAAATTATTTTTTCTTCTATATATTAAATATTCAAGTCTAAAACTACCAAAGTTCTAGTATCCAAAGCATTACTTTTATTTAGATCAAATTATTTTCTCTCATATTTTTTATTTTTTATTTTAAACTCTCTATAAATTAATATCACTATGAATTAATAAATTATCATGGTCCTAACATTATTAATTTATAGAGGTTTTACTCTATCCACAAATACAAGGAAACTAGTTATTGATAGGGTAATGACTATTTAATAACTCTAATAAAGTACTAACAATATTCACAAATATTATTTTTTTAGTTACCATAAAATGTTTGTTAAGTTGTTTTTTCTCATGATCTAAAACGTTCACTAATAACTCCAAGTTGTTAATCTTTCATTCTTGGTGTATCACACAGTTTTTTATATAAAATGTATACTAACAACCAAAACTACTTTTTGCTTTGTTTTGTTAATATCATAACACATTATGTTGTATAGATACACAACAGTGACACTAACACATTACTAGACTACACGTTATGGTCAACCTAATATCTAAGTTTTGTTATAGTTTTATAATAGTCTTAAATACTAAAACATATTTTTTGTATTATATTTTATGATAAATTATTAAACTATTAAACTTTCCATTATATTTTAAGAAAATGGAAAGATGGAGAGGGATGTGGGGAATAATCAAGGAGTGAAGTTATTGTTGAAGGAGATACATATTTCTAATTGTACACATGTCCTATAGTAAAAACATACAGGGAATAAACGTAAATGATGAGATGAAACAAAAAAAAACAATTAAAAAACTGAAATTAAACTAAATTTATGTGGCGTCTAACCATTAAAACAAAAATACAACTTTAATTCATAAAACCCTACAATTGTTTTGATATTGTCGTTATACCACTTTTTATTTTTGTTTTGATATTGTCTTTGATATTTTCTTTTGTTCTTCAATTAATCGGCACTTTGATATTGTCTTCACGAATTTATATTTTGATGGAAAAATTAAGAACTATATTCAATCGGTTTAGAAGTTTTGGTTAGACTCAAATTGAAATCGGTTTAGAGATTTAAATTGGTTTGATTCAATTTAATAAAAATTGATAGGTCAAATGGGTAAACCATTGAAACCATTGACCCATTACAACCCAACTCATTTGATCCATCAATCTATTTGACTCAATAACTCATTTGATCCATCAACTCATTTGAGTCAAAATTTTCAACTCATTAGGGTTCATGGGTTGAGTTGAGTTAGGTTGACCCATGAATCTTGACTCATTTTGACACCCCTATTTGTACTCATGACATGTATTTTTCCTATTTAGTTGATAATTTATTCATGTTTATACTTAATATCTAGTTGAATTTGATCAGAAATTTAATTTTTATATTAGAAATGGATATTGATTTTTGATTGTTTTATGGAGAACTTGTGTTTCATTGGCTACGTTTATGTTTATGTTTGAAACTGAATATGTTTGAGTTTGATTATGGTCTTAACTCTTAAGATGAAAGCCAAATATCTGATAAAACATAACTAACAATATCTGAGAGAGAACAATCAGAGAGATCCTACGTTGAAAAAGAAGATGACGAAGAAAGAAACGTTTTCTTTTTGTGAAATGAATCTTAAATTAGTTCTAAAACCAAATATATATAGAGAATATTTTCTAACAACTTAAAACCCTAAAACCCTAATTCTTCTCAAGATCACGCTTTATCTATATGAAAAAAAATTACCAAAGAAAGAACAAAAACAGATGATGAAACAGAACGAAGAAGAGAGTACGAGAACACAGAGGAAACACGAGAAATAGAGAGGAAAGAGTAGAGTACGATGCAGAAAAACAGAGAGAATTGAGAAAAAGTAGACGATACCTCATCAAGAAATCTGTTACTGATGCTGCCACCTTGAGATTCTTCTCGTGATCTCTTCATGGCTATTTTCTCTTTGTTGCTTTAGCTTTTCTTTGTCACTGCGTTTTCAGATTTGCCTCTCTAAAAGAATATATATAGCACGTTTTTTGTTGGGTTATATTTATGCTAATTCTTCTGTTTAGGGTTTCTAATTGTCTTTAGGTCCAATCAGGGCCCGTCAAAGTCCAGATAATAAATGGTTAACGTATGATATATCATCTTATCAGGGTATGGCATTATTATTTTTAACTAATGTATGGTATTAAATTAACTATTAGTCAGATTTCTTCTAATGGTCATCATAGTTAAATGCTAGCTCAAATATCTGCTCATATTCATCCACAAAGTGAACATGGAGCCCCTCTTTCAAGTCTTGTGGGAGCGCCTCAAAATCTCTCCGGTTTAGAGCTGGAAATATTATCGTCTTGATCTTATTCCGTCTCGCAGCTAAAGTCTTCCCCTTCACCTGAGTGAGAGAGAGAGAGAGAGATTTGTTGTATTAGAAAGAACTTAATACAAATTTGTAACCAAAAAGCTAAAAACGGAGTAAATTCTAGTGTGCCACTTACGCCGCCAATTGGAAGAATTCTACCGGTTTGAGTGACTTGTCCAGTCATTGCAAGATCTTTCTTCACAGGCTTCTTCATGGCAAGTGATAGCAAGGAAGTGATCATGGTGCAGCCTCCGCTTGGACCGTCATTTTTACTGGCACCTGTAACATGTAGATGAAGCTTGGAATCCGCAAAGAACGGGTTCTCGGGTTGTTTCTTGAGCAAGAATCTTCTGGCAACCGTGCTAGCGTTCTGCACACTTTCTTTCATCACATTCCCAAGCTGACCCGTACATTACTTTGAGGCCGCCTTTGCCTTTCTCTTCTTCAATTACTTTCGTCTCTATGTACCCTATTTCTTTAGACGATAGGCCCACTGTAACCCCGACCGGGATCTGCTCATAGATCTTTCTTACTTTGGTCTCGAAATAAATCGGGTTGCCAACATAATCTTCAAGGTTCGTTTTGTCAATCGAAACCTTTTTAGCCGTTTCAATGTGTCGTATCGGATGTATCTTCTCGTACTAGTTTAAGAGCACTCTATGCATAAGAAGTCACTTATGTTAGATTATCGAGTTTCCATATCAATACTAATTAGCAACATATAGTTTATCTCATGTCTCTTTTATTCTATAGATTAGGTCACTTAGGAGTTTGGAAAACGTTCCCATTAACTTTTGTAGCAAGTGTTCCATTAACTTTTGTAGCAAGTTACCTTGCGGTAAATCTTCTCAATATGCTTCTGGAGAGACCTAACTCCTACTTCTCTGCAGTAATTTTTTTATCAAGAAACCAAGAGCCGCATCGCTTACATCAACCTGGTAACAGCGAAAAAAAAAACCATGCAAAAATCCATATAGCATATATGAACACATTCAAACATCAGAAAATGGTTTTGCGAGTTAGACCTCTTCAGGCTTAATGCCACAAAGAAAACCTGTAACCAAACACTTGGATTAGACTCTATAAGTTCAAAATTACAAATCAGATGAGAAAATTTTCATCAAGAAAAGAAACCTTTGATAGGTCAATGGAAACGTCAAGATAGTGATCCATAAAATTTGCATTCAACTCTGGATCAAGAAGCTCCAACAAGGCGTCGACGGTTTCACGAGTGATGTGTGTTCCAAGCTAAACAACCGAGGAAACTATAAACAACTATTGCAACTACTAACATAAAATTCTTGAATAATACAAACCAATTCATATAGTAATAACCTTATCAAATTAAGAAACAATATATATATAGAGAGAGACCAACCTTGTGGAGTGCCTCTAAGTTTTTCAACGGCAATGTGTTGTATTATTCTTTCTTTTACATTAGATAAGCCATCATGATCCCTGTCAAGAATCTTTTCTGCACTCATGACATGACAATTAATTCTCACCACTGCAAACAAAATTAATCAAATAATTTTCATGCTACTTTTTAAGCACATGAGCATGATATATGAATTGAATCTATTATTGTATATAGTTTCATTTGTGTTTATTTCTCATTATATAGTTTAATGGAGTCTGTATAGAATGGTTTAGCTTGGTTTAGAGGCTTTGGTTTAGGCCTGGTCAAATGTATATAAACCCCCAATTGTATAGTTTTACTTTAATTAAGGAGAATGAGAGTTTTTACTAATATGGTATCAGAGCGTAATCTCTCTCTCTCTCTCTAACGACTTTTCACGGCTTTCCTTCGCCGGAGAGTTTGTTTTCCGTCGTTCTTCTTCTCCGATCCCGTTCTTTGGTTGTAGCTCTTTTACGGCTTCTTTTTCTTTCGATTCCGTCTCCGATCTAGCTCGATTTTGATTTCTCTACTCGATTTCAGCTGTTTCAAATGGGAAAACGAAAGACAACTTCGAAGTATCGCTCCTCTACACCAGATCCGCCGATCGCTGACACTCCGATCTCTACTGCCAAGACTCGTAGCTCATCGCCGATGCGTGTTGTCTCCGGATCCACACATCCGCCAATCGCTACTCGATCTCGGTCATCTTCTGTTCCGTTTGAAGTTTCGAATTCTCCGGATAACATCCACAGTCCTTATCATCTTCACAGCTCCGATCATCCAGGTTTGGTTCTTGTTCCTGATCTCTTGGATGGAACGAATTATGGAACCTGGATTGTTGCTATCACGACTAGTATCGAAGCTAAGAATAAACTAGGTTTTGTGGATGGTTCGATAATTCGTCCTGATGAACATGATCCATACTATCTGATTTGGAAGCGTTGTAACAGTATGGTGAAGTCCTGGCTCTTGAACAGTGTGTCGAAGCAGATCTATTCAAGCATTCTCTACTTTGCGACTGCAAAAGAGATTTGGATAGATTTGCATACTCGATTTCATAAGTCCAATCTTCCAAGGCTCTACAAGCTTCGCCAACAGATTCATTCTCTTCGTCAAGGTAACATGGATCTGTCTACATATCACACGAAGACTCAATCATTGTGGGAAGAACTGTCAAGTCTTCAGGTTGCTGCGAGAACTGTTGATGATTTATTGGCTGAAAGGGAAACTAACCGTGTCATTGATTTTCTCATGGGTCTCAATAGCACTTATGATACAGTACGGAGTCAGATTTTGATGAAGAAAAGCTTGCCTACATTGTCTGAAGTCTACAACATGTTGGATCAAGATGATTCTCAAAGGTCCGCTTGTCTTTCTCCTGGTACTGTGGACTCTTCAGCTTTTCAGGTTTCACAGCAGTCTTCTCAGAGCACATCTTCTGGTGGTTTTCAGTTTCAGAGGAAAGACAAACCAATTTGCACATACTGTGGTCGCACTGGTCATGTTATGGACAAGTGTTACAAGAAAAATGGGTATCCTGTTGGTCATCCACGATTCAAATTTTCTCAGTCACCTTCACCAAGTGCAGCAAATGTCATAGTTGATGGCAACATGGAACCTGCTAAAGTGGTTGAGCCTGTCAAGACCAGTGATGATCTTTCCACAGAACAAATGCAGAAGATTGTCTCCTTTCTCAATACCAGAATCCATAGCTCTACTATCACACCTGAGGTTCATTCTGTTTCAGTGTCTTCCCTCCCTTCTTCTTCCACCAATGGCCCAACACCTGGTAACTTTTATCCCTCTATCATTTGTTCTTTTACCAGTGTTGATAGGCCCTATGCCTGTTCTACAAATAGCAATCTTATAGCTATAAATGCTTGGGTGATAGACACAGGAGCCACTAATCATATCTGCCATGATAGATCTTCCTTTTCCACTTTTCAAACTATTGAAAACACCAATGTTAATCTTCCTAATGGTGGCCTAGTGAGCATTGTTGGAATAGGAACCATTCTTTTGGGTAGACATCTAGTGCTTCATAATGTCCTTTTCATTCCCCAATTCAAATTCAATCTTTTAAGTGTCAGTTGCTTGACCAAATCTATGGGCTGCAAAATTTGGTTTGATGAAAATTCTTGTGCGCTTCAGGATCTTTCTCGGGACTTAATGATTGGCTTGGGTAGACAGGTGGCTAACCTTTACTTTCTGGATATTGAGTCTGTCGATCAACCTTTAAATAAAGACTCTCTGGTAGCTGCTTCTGTTCTTTCTCATGACCTTTGGCATAAACGGTTAGGTCACCCCTCCTTTTATAAGCTTCAGTCTCTTTCTTCTCTTTTACATTTTAAAAAAGAACCAAAAATACAAAAAGATTCACATTGTAAAACTTGTCATTTGGCAAAACAAAAACATATTCCTTTTATTTCTCATCAAAATATCTGTAAAACTCCTTTTGAATTGGTTCATATAGACACTTGGGGTCCTTTCTCTACTTCTACTCATGATGGTTTTAAGTACTTCTTAACCATTGTTGATGATCACTCTAGGGCTACATGGGTCTATTTAATGAAATCCAAGTCTGATGTTTTGCATATCTTCCCTTCTTTTATAAATATGGTAGAAACTCAATTTGAGACTAGGGTTAAAGGGGTTAGATCTGACAATGCTCATGAATTCAATTTTACTCAGTTATTTCAGTCCAAAGGGATTATTCATTATCATTCTTGTCCTGAAACACCCCAACAGAATTCTGTTGTAGAAAGGAAGCATCAGCACATTCTTAATGTTGCTAGATCCCTTCTATTTCAGTCTCATCTTCCTCTTTCTTTTTGGGGAGACTGTGTTCTCTCTGCAGTTCATTTAATCAATAGGCTGCCGGCTCCTGTGTTAGATGATAAAAGTCCTTTTGAGGTTTTAACTAAGAAGACACCTAACTATGAAGAGTTAAGAGTTTTAGGTTGCCTTTGTTATGCTTCAACCTCACCCAAGAATAGGCTTAAATTCGATCCCAGAGCTCGTGCATGTGCTTTCCTTGGTTATCCTTCAGGATACAAAGGGTATAAATTACTTGATCTGGAAACTAATGATGTGTTTATTTCCAGACATGTAGTGTTCCATGAGGAGCTCTTTCCCTTTGCTAAATCAGATTTATCTCAGGAATCAAAAACATTTTTTCCTGATCTGTTTAGCTCTTCTCCTATGTCTCCTATTATTTCTGATAAGGATGCTTCTCCATCCTTATCTTCTGTAGAGATTATGCCTTCTGCTAATCCTACTAATGTCCCTGAACCTTCTGTTCAAACATCACATAGGAGAACAAAGAAACCTGCTTATCTTCAAGACTACTACTGTCATTCAGTAGGGTCTTCAACCATTCATGAAATTGCCAAATTTCTTTCTTATGATAAAGTGTCAGAGCTTTATCTTTCATTCTTGGTTTCCATAGACAAAACTAAAGAACCCTCAACCTACACTGAAGCAAAGGAACTTCTTGTGTGGTGTGGAGCTATGGATGAGGAAATTGATGCTTTGGAAGTCACTCATACTTGGGAAATATGTACCCTGCCTCCTAACAAGAAACCCATTGGATGTAAATGGGTGTACAAAATCAAGTATAATTCAGATGGCAGCATTGAGAGATTCAAGGCTAGGCTGGTTGCTAAGGGCTATACACAGCAAGAGGGCATTGACTTCAATGATACTTTCTCTCCCGTATGTAAGCTGACTTCAGTCAAGCTCATTTTGGCCATTTCTGCAATTTATGGGTTTACTCTCCATCAGCTTGATATTTCTAATGCCTTTTTAAATGGAGATTTAGATGAGGAAATATACATGAAACTTCCTCCTGGATATGCTACCAAAAAGGGGGACTCTCTTCCACCTAATGCTGTTTGTAGGTTAAAGAAGTCCTTATATGGCCTTAAGCAGGCTTCCAGGCAGTGGTTTCTGAAATTCTCTGTTACTCTTACTGGTTTGGGTTTTGTGCAATCTCATTCTGATCACACATGTTTTCTTAAAATCACTACAGAGATTTTTTTGTGTGTTTTGGTCTATGTTGATGACATCATTATTGCCAGTAACAATGATGCTGCAGTT